AAACAAAGAAGGTCTCCATTCCTACACAGTTTGCAATAGGTGTGTTTTCTGAGTTCAAACTACAGCTTCAGCAGCATGTTTTAGAACTTGATGTAAGTGCCAAGGAAATTTCCATTTAACTGTGCAGTTGAGGCACTTTTTATTTAACCTTTAATTGGAATGATTAATCTGCAAATAATGACATGCTAAAAGGTAAATACTAAGAGAAGAGTAAATCCTTTAAATGCCTTCCAAACAATGATTATGCTGAATTGAAATCATATACTTGTGATTTACTATCAGTATAAAGTAGCACCTAATTAGTACTTTTGAAAAAAGACATTTTCAAACATGAAATTTATTGTATTCAAGGTAAACATTAGAATGTGTGAACATTTGTGATTGATTCTCATGATAGGGAACACTAACTTTGAATCCCAACTAAGTGAAATATTGTCCCCAGAAAGAGTTTCAGTCTTCTCCTTAGTCAACCTGTCTTACAGAAAGTTGTACTCTGTTATTGTTTCTATAATATTTTGAATTGCATCGATAAGAATTATGGAATTTTTTGTCTCATTATATAAGTAGTTATATAATATCCTTCATTTTGTTTGTTAGCTCTCAAAACCTAAAGTATTTGCTTGTCAGGTCTTTTACAGGAAAAGTTTGCCAACCCCTCCTTTGTATCAGGATATTTTTATCTTTCATAAGTTTGTGTCTGTACTTGTGAGCAGGATTAACACTTTTGTTTCACAATGACTTTAAAGAGAAATAATTTGTAGAGCATCTTTGTTTCTACTGGATTTGTTAATTACATATTACTCATTATAGTAAGACCATATGGTTTTGTGTTAATATTCTAAATTTGAAGATGAGACTTTCCATGGTTGTCCTGTATTCTGTGGATAGATCCACTGGACATTGAAATTAAAAGTAGTTGTATTAGTCCATTCTCATGCTGCTATGAAGAAATACCTGAGACTGGGTAATTTATAAAGAAAGAGGTTTAAGTGACTCACAGTTCTACATGGTTGGGGAGGCCTCAGGAAACTTAAAATCATGGCAGAAGGCATGTCTTCACAGGGCTGCAGGAGAGAGAATGAATGCCAGCAGGGGAAATGCCGGATTCTTATAAACCCATCAGATCTCATGAGACTCACATTATCATGAGAACAGCATGGGGGGAACTGCCCCCGTGATCCAATCCCTCCACCTGCTCCTGCCCTTGACATGTGATTATTACAGTTCAAAGTGAGATTTGGTTGGGGACACAGAGCCAAACCATATCATTCTGCCTGTGACCCTTCCCAAATCTTATGTCCTCACATTTCAAAGCACAATCATGCCTTTCGTACCGTCCCCCAAAGTCTTAACTCATTCCAGACTCAAAAGTCCAAGTCCAAAGTCTCATTTGAGACAAGGCAAGTTTCTCCCACCTATGAGCCTGTATCAAAAACAAGTTAGTTACTTTTTAGATATATTGGAAGTACAAGCGTTGGGTAAATACACTTGTTCCAAATGGGAGAAATTGGCTAAAACAAAGGGATATAGGCCCCATGCAATTCTGAAATCCAGTAGGGCAGTCATTAAACCTTAAACTTCCAAAATTACCTCCTTCGACTCCATATCTGACATCCAGGTCACACTGATGTCAGAGGTAGGTTCCCATGGCCTCGGGCAGCTCCACCCCTGTGGCTTTGCAGGGTACATCCCCACCTCCTGGCTGCTTTCACAGCTGGCCTCGAGTGTCTGTGGCTTTTCCAGATGCATAGTGCAAGCTGTTAGTGGATCTACCATTCTGGGATCTGGAGGGTGGTGGCCCTCTTCTTACAACTCCACTAGGCAGTGCCCTAGTGGGGACTCAGTGGGAGCTCCAGCCACACATTTCCCTTCCGCACTTCCCTAGCAGAGGTTCTCCATGAGGGCCCTGCCCCTGCAGCAGACTTCTGCCTGGACATTCAGGCATTTTCATACATCCTCTGAAATCTAGAGGGAGGTTCCCAAACCTCAGTTCTCATCTTCTGTGCACCCACAGGCCCAACACCATGTGGAAGCTGCCAGAACTTGGGGCTTGTACCCACTGAAGCCGTGGCCTGAGTTGTACCTTGGCCCCTTTTAGCCATGGCTGGAGTGGCTGGGTGCAGAGCACCAAGTCCCACGGCTGCACACAACAGGGGGGCCCTAGACCCAGCCTAGGAAACCCATTTTTCCCTCCTAGGCCTCTGGGCTTGTGATGGGAGGGGCTGCCAACATCTCTGATGTGCCCTGGAGGCATTTTCCCCATTGTCTTGGTGATTAGCTTTTGATTCCTTGTTACTTACTCGAATTTCTGCAGCTGGCAGAAATGGGTTTTTCTTTTCTATTGCATTGTCAGGCTACGCATTTTCTAAACCTCTATTCACTGCTTCCCTTTTAAACATAAATTCCAATTCCAGACCTAATCTTTGTGAATGGGTAAAACTGAATGCTTTTAAGAGCAACTCCCCCCTCCCAAGTCACCTCTTGAACACTTTGCTGCTTAGAAATTTCTTCCGCCAGATACCATAAATCACCTCTCTCAAGTTCAAAGTTCCACAAATCTCTAGGGCAGGAACAAAATGTTGCCAGTCTCTTTGCCAAAGCATAGCAAGGGTCCCATTTATCCCAGTTCCCAACAAGTTCATCTTCATCTGCAACCACTTCAGCTTGAACTTCATTGTCCATATCACTATCACCATTTTGGTCAAAACCATTCAACAAGTCTCTAGGAAGTTCCAAACTTTCCCACATTTTTCTGTGTTCTGAGCCCTCCAAACTGTTCCAACCTCTGCCTGTTGCCCAGTTCCAAAGTCACTTCCACATTTTCAGGTATCCTTGTAGCAGCACCCCACTCCTGGTACCAGTCTACTGTATTAGTCCTTTCGCACACTGCTGTGAAGAAAAACCTCAGACTGGGTAATTTGTAAAGAAAAGAGGTTTAATTGACTCACAGTTTTGCATGGCTGGGGAGGCCTCAGAAAACTTACAATTATGGTGGAAGGCACCTCTTCACAGGGGGCAGGAGAGAGAATGCATGCCAGCAGGGGGAATACCAGATGCTTATAAAACCATCAGATCTCGGCCAGGCGCGGTGGCTCACGCCTGTAATCCCAGCACTTTGGGAGGCTGAGGAGGGCGGATCACAAGGTGAGGAGATCGAGACCATCCTGGCTAACACGGTGAAACCCCGTCTCTACTAAAAATACAAAAAAAATTAGCCGGGCATGGTGGTGGGTGTCTGTAGTCCCAGCTACTTGGGAGGCTGAGGCAGGAGAATGGCATGAACCCAGGAGGCAGAGCTTCCAGTGAGCCAAGATAGCGCCGCTGCACTCCAGCCTGGGTGGCAGAGTGAGACTCCATCTAAAAAAAAACAGAAAACAAAAAACGATCAGATCTCTCATGAGACTTACTCATTATCAGAAGAACAGCATGGAAGAAACTGCCCCCTTGATCCATTTACCACCACCTGGTCCCGCCCTTGACACGTGGGGATTATTACAATTTAAGTGAGATTTAGGTGAGGACAGAGCCAAACCATATTAGTAGTGTACTATTTGCTGCAGTGTGATTCTCAAGTAATGTAACTCTGCCTTCATGGAACCTATAAGGGGAAAATAACATGCCAAACACAAACATTTGTTTTCAAAAATGTTTTGGAGTCAGTTGAAATGCCTAGAACTAGTGATGGTTAATTTTCAGGAAGAATTTTTGAATTCCTGAAGAACAGGTAAGAGATTGAGAGTCAGAGTGGAAGAGTCAGGCTCCCCAAGCCAAAGTTTAATTCCCTGAATAAGTCATAGAGTAGTATTTCGATTTTCTTCTTTATGTGTATTCATTGGTTTACTGTTCCTGGAAATCAGAAGGCAATTTTGACTCTTTCTCAGGATATCATTCTCCTGTATCTCTGGACTTCTATTCTTTTTAGTCTTGGGAGGAAAGTATCTTTGCATAGAAGCCTTGGATGATTCTAGGAGACTTTTGGAAAGCCTGGAAGAAAAGCCAGAATTACTGGACTGGAGAGCTTTAGTGGAAGCCAGAAATTTAGAGGGTATTCTGACTAACATCTTATAGAAAGGAAAATAACGATAGTTATTTGCATGGCCAAAGAGCTATAGAGAATCATGGGGTCTTAGAAGATTACAAATTGGGGTTCAAAGAGTTTAATTTATAGGTGTTTGCTTAGATTTAAATTTGAGGCAATTACATGAGTATAAATGGTACCCGGACAACTATAGACTGTCTTTAAAATCTATTCTTTAAGTATAACTTTTTATTCTTGGGGCCAAGAAGTTTTAGTGAGAACTAGTTCTTATAGTTTCAACTGACTTCAGTAGAAAATATATTCATATATTTATGTGATAATCATATTTTTTATGTTGTCAAGAATAAATTGAATAAAACAAGTTCATCTATTATTGCAGCCTATGGTAATTATAAAGGAATAAGGAAAACTAGTGTCCAATTTTATGTATCTGTAAGTAAATCAGTAGTTCAGAGCTGTGTAACCTCTCTCCCTATTATTTCCATGGGTGTTCTTTTGTAATCTCCTTTGTACTTCCAAATTTGAAAACTTTGTTTAGTATTATAAGATGCGTACAGATAACCTAAAAGAATGGTAACTGTTTTGACTTTCAAAGTAGTTCTAGGCTGGGCACAGTGGCTCACGCCTGTAATCCCAGCACTTTGGGAGACCGAGGTGGGTGGATCACCTGAGGTCAGGAGTTTGAGACCAGCCTGGCCAACATGGTGAAACCCATCTCTACTAAAAATACAAAAATTAGCTGGGCATGGTGGTGCACCCCTGTAGTCATAGCTGCTCAGGAATCGCTTGAGCCGGGGAGGTGGAGGTTTCAGTGAGTCAAGATCACGCCGCTGCACTCCAGTCTGGGCAACAAAGTGAGACTCTAACTCAAAAAAAGTAGTTTTAAACATATTTTAAAGAACAATAAATGTTTTAAAGTCAGTGCTGAAAACTTTAAAAAGTCATTATATTTTATGTTTAGGTCTCTGAAAGAAGATGAATTTGGCTGAGATTTGTGATAATGCAAAGAAAGGAAGAGAATATGCCCTTCTTGGAAATTACGATTCATCAATGGTTTATTACCAGGGGGTGATACAGCAAATTCAGAGACATTGCCAGTCAGTCAGAGATCCAGCTATCAAAGGCAAATGGCAACAGGTAAGATGATATTAAAGTATTAGATGTGTTGGGACAGCAGTACCCTATTTTACTTGAGAGATTAGAGTCGGAAAATGAGTTTGAGATGGAAATAGTTCCTATTTATCTGAATACTGAACTATGTTTAAAATATGCTCTTGTATATTTTAGTATCTTACCTAGTTAATGTTTTGTTTTTTGATCATATATTTCATGAGGTATGTTTTGAAGATATTTAATTCCAATTGAATCTACTTTTACTTTTTTCTGTTTTCATGATCAGTTACCTAATTGTGTGACTACAAACTTTCGAAATAAAGTATTTCATTCATTCATTCATTTTTTTTTTTTTTGAGACAGGGTCTTGTTCTGTTGCCCAGGCTGGAGTGCAGTGGCACGATCTTGGCTCACTGCAACCTCTGCCTCCCAGGTTTAAGCAGTTCTCCTGCCTCAGCCTCCCAAGTTGCTGGGACTGCAGGCATGCACCACCATGCCCAGTTAATTTTTGTACTTTTAGTAGAAACGGAGTTTCACCATGTTGGCCAGGCTGGTCTTGAATTCCTGACCTAGTGATCCACTCACCTCAGCCTCCCAAAGTGCTGGGATTACAGGCGTGAGTCACCGCACCCGGCCCATTCTTTCTTTCTTTCTTTTTTTTTTTTTTTTTTTTTAAAGGGTTTTGCTCTGTCACCCAGGCTAGAGTGCAGTGGTGCCATCACAGCTCACTGCAGCCTCAAACTGCTGGGCTCAAGCGATCCTCCCACCTCAGCTTCCCAAATAGCTAGGGGGACAGGTTCACACCACATGTCCAGCTAATTTTTAGATTTTTTGTAAGGACTGAGTATTGCTATGTTGCCCAGGGTGGACTCAAACCCCTGGCCTCAAGTGATCCTCCTGCCTTGGCCCCTCAAAGCACAGGTATTACATATGTGAGCCACTGTGCTGGACCCGAAATAAAGTATTCATACTCGCCCTTTTCCCTTTCATATTTACATGTTGTTTTGACCCATTTTGCAAAACTCTTTTGAAAGACTCCTTAAAAATACAAATGAGTCAGTAATCTAATAAAAAACATTACTGTATTTGTTGTCTTTTGACTATATAATTTGATTAATAAGACAGTTAATAAAAACTTGAATTTTAATTTACCCACTTACTGTTTTTTAAATTTAATGTTTTAATCAGTATCTTTTAGCATAGTTCTTGCTTTGCTGCTCCAATTTCAAATTAATTGTAACTTTTAAAAACGATTTTTTTTTTTAACAAATCATACTTATAAGCAATAGATCTTTAAGGAAATAAATAAAAGCATCTTCAGTGATGTTTAAACAAAATTGGCTTTTGTTTTGTAAGGGTTTATTATTTAAGCTTATGTTTTCACCTGTTATACTGAAACAACATAACATCCTTTTTAGAAAACGTTAAGTGAAAAAATACGGAACACTTCAGGAGTTTGTGTGCATCCCGTGCAGGGGACATACTGGTCTTGTCTGTGTCATTCCAGTGTTAGTATATGTGCTGCCAATGCAGACCACTCCCCACTTGGTGTTAAAATTTAAAATCTTTTAAAAATTACAAGTACTAAGTCAAGTATTTCTTTGAAGTTTCCATTTTATGTACTAATGCCTTTCAAGTGTTTCTTCTAGTTTTTCCATTAGTCAGAAATTGATGTTTTCCTAAGTTTTGAGGGTAAATTTGACTTATTTTCCAACTTAAATGTTACCAAATTATATTGATTGAGAACAATATACTTGCTCCAACTCAGGCTCAAATTTTTAGTTGTTTTCTTCTATCCTTCCTGTTAGCTACAGGCAGGGTATTTTATTAATCTATCATGGAAGTATTTTTGACATGTTCTGAATTGTGTATGTTAAATAGTGACCATTTCTACTATGTTTCTTTCCACTGGGTTCTGAAATTACATTTCTTCCAGTGTAGCATATTGTGTAATTGCATGTATTAGCAGTTGAATTTTACCTAGCTTTTTCTTTGGATCTGTAACTCCTTCATATGTTCCTTTTAATATATTATTCAATATAAAGATGAGGGAAAATTTTTTATACTCTGCTTTACAGTATGACTTGCTTTCTGGTTAAAGAAAAAACAATTGTTAAAATGATTTATAATTGTAATTTTTTTTCTTTTTTTTTTTTTTTTTTGACATGGAGTCTTGCTCTGTTGCCCAGACTGGAGTGCAGTAGTGTGGTTGTAGCCTCGGACTCCTGGGCTCAAATGATCCTTCTGCCTCAGCCTCCTGAGTAGCTAGGACTGTAGACTCGCGCTGTCATGCCTGGGCTAATTTTTTTGTTTCCCTAGGCTGATCTTGAATGTAATTTTTAATCTTTATCTGTTTACTTTTGAAAATGAGTTTGTGCTCAAAGTTTGAAAACACAAGAATTTCCTCATAGTATGTGTTCAGTTAAATTTTTTAAATACAGGAAAAACCTTGTCTTTGAAATAAAAATAAACTTTACTCAGAACTCAAAATAATTTAAATAAGGCAAAAATAATTCAGATTTCAGTTGAAGGAGAATTTAAACAAAAACTGGAAGTTTATAATTCATAGTATAATACCACTTCTAGCTTTCAGACACTCATGACAGGCGTTTTATATTTACTGATATTGGGAATAGGAATTGTGTTGAAAATTTTGGCTTACCGTTTTTTGGAATCTATTTACAAATATATTAAAAGTATTTAGCACAATATTTTACATTTCTTGGAATGTTTAACTTGTTACCTACTTAGTTGATTGTTTTAAATTGTATTAATGATCTTCACATTCTTTGGTAGAAATGGAATTCCATTATGAAAGAGAGATAACTACTTATTAAAAGGTATAGAATTATGGTTTTTTCAAACTAATTTCTGCCCTTTTCTCAGTATTACTTGAAATAGTTCTTTGTGTTTATGAATGTTTTAATGATTCATTTTTCATACTTTGACATTAAGAAAACATGCACTCTATAGCAATTTATTATTTAAAATTCATGAAGTCTTTAAACAGCTTCTAGCATAAAGCCTTTTTTTTTTTTTTAAGGTTCGGCAGGAATTACTGGAAGAATATGAACAAGTGAAAAGTATTGTCAGCACTTTAGAAAGTTTTAAAATTGACAAGCCTCCAGATTTCCCTGTGTCCTGTCAAGATGAACCATTTAGAGATCCTGCTGTTTGGCCACCCCCTGTTCCTGCAGAACACAGGTAAATAGAACTTTATATTCTCTTTAGGTTCTTCTAGTTAATTGATGTTCACAGTGAAGCATGCTTTGAACAAAGTATGAAAAATCATTTTTGGGGACATGTAAATTCAGTATCTGTTTTTAATATTCACATTTATAGGTTTACAGTTATGTATTTGATAAAGTACAGAAGTAAATGTCTTGTTACATATATTGCTTTTAGAAATGCTTTATTTCGCTAATAACAATAGATGCCTATTGCTAGTCCTAAAATTTATCAGTTAAGAGAGGTCTTTTAGGTTTCATAATGGCAGCATCAAAACTTGGATAGTTTTGCTTTTTTGCTTGAAGAGATTCTAATAACTTCAGATGAAGTGGTGGAGAAATTGAATGTTCCTGGTTGGGCCTACAGTCAATTTCCAGAGTTTTAGTGTAGAAGGAACCTTACTGATAATGTTTAAGTGGCTTAGTGCTTAAAGTCAGATTCCTCAGTGTGGCGTCTCCCACCAGTTTTCTCTAATACCCAGCCTGTGCATCATTTACGTTAAACCTCTCTCTGTTTTTGCCCTTTTTTTGTCATCTTGTCTGTGTAGTCTCTTCTTTCTGCAAGGATTACCCATAATCCCCATCTCTAAAGAACTCATATTCATTCAAGTCTCAACTCAACTGACTGTCCCCTCTGCAGCCTCTTTTGATTTGCCCAGACATAGCAGTTTGTTCGTAGTGGTTATCATGTTGCATTTATTTGTCACTTCACAAGATTTGCAAGGACAAGGACCATATTTTATTTATTAAATAATAAACTTTCATTGCTAACGCAGGGTTTGGCACGTAGTAGACATTCAACCAACTTTGAATGAGTTAACTCCATTCGTTTCACAAGTGAGGAAACTGAAACCTGAGAGACCCTAATCATGCTAGATCAGGATGTGAGTTGAGGTCTTTCTGGCTTTCTGTCTGCTTTATTGTGAGGTGGTATTGTGGCCAGAGTATTGCACCATAGAAAATATGTTTTCCTTTGGCCAGTCTCTATAATAATCTGTTGAAATTTTCTAAAAACATTTTAAGAGCTATGAAAAATGGTTAATTTATTCCTTTGGATTTTTTCCACTGAATTACAGATAATTTTGTGATTTTCATTGTGAAAGCAGTAGATGAAGATTCTTTTTTAAGCTCTGCAACAATGTAGTTTTCCTCTGATGTAACCACCTTCAGCTGTTTTATACTAAGGTGACCCATATCCCGCGAAAGGCAGTGTTTTAAGAGTCATATCGTTGTTACCATGGAAGTTCCAAAATACTGAACGAATGACATTTTAACCTACTATCACCTGAAATTTTCCTGTATGTATGTATAATGAAATACCTTGTTTTTTTACTGAAAGTCATTAATTCTGAAATATACTTCTAGTTTAAAGCTAAAAGCTGGCAATAACTTTAAATATAGGAATATATGCTCTGAATTGCTCGAGTACCATGATTCATTTCAGGCAGCAGTGTCTGCAGATAATAAGTGATATTGATGGCTCAAACTGAATAAAAAGTTGTGGATGACATTTTCCCGTTGATGACTACTGATCTCAAAACGTATCACTAGAATGACACTAGTCCAGTTATTTTCTTTTCTTTGTCCTTTCTTAACTGTTTGTAACACAAATCTGACTTATTTTTGTGCTTGTTTTTAAATCCTTTTTCTAAATGAAAGTGAAAAATGAATGGACCAGAATGTATTTCTCTGATTCTCCTTTCTTTGTACTAAATTTTTAAAAAAAGTTTTCTCTGTGCATAGCCATTGTATGTGGGTTTTTTGTTTTTTTGTTTTTTTTTCCTCTGTGGAGCAGAAACCCTGAATAAAAGCAAATCGCAGATTGTATCTTGTCTGGGGAAAAAATAGATTTTCATTCCCATGTATATCATCAACAACAATAAGAAAACACCTTACAACTCCACAAGGTTCTACTAGAGAAGGAAATATAAGACATTGAGTAATAGCATGGGATTAATAGTTTAAAACTTTATGAATAAAATTTTTATGTAAGCAAAAACAGTGGGTCCTTCATCAATTAACAATGTAAGGTGAACGTTAATGAACTAAATCTTATGCTGGTTTGTGGCACAGAATGTATGCAAGGGCTGATAAAATAAATATTCAGATTGCAAATTTAGATTTAAAGGTTATGGAGGATTAGAGTTGTATGATATTTTTCTTGTTTTACAAACTTTGTTTCTTCTCCAGGTCATGTAAAACAAATATAATAAGATTTTCACTTAGTGATAGTGAATGGTAGATAGTCATTGGATATTCTTGGTTTAATGGAAAGACATTTGACTTCAGTTGATGAGATTGTGGATTCTGCTTCTGAAACCTACTTGCTTTATGACTTTGAGCAAGCTATTTACCCTCCCTAAACGTTAGTCTCACTATCTGTAAAATGAAGATCTCTACTTCATGGAATTGAAAAAAAAATTAAGACAGCAACTGGCATGTAATAAGTAATTAAAGTTAATGGTCATCTCTGAAATAAAGGACTACAAATTCTTTCAGAGAAATAGCAAGAATAACAATTAAAAGTGATAGCCTCATTCATAAAACAAGTCCTTTTATTTTCTCCCTGCAGATTCTACCTAATTCCTTAGTTTCCTGAAACATTTCAAGAACTCTGACAGAGAGGGTATGGCTTTTTAAATGTCCAAGTCTTAAGCAGTTGGTGATTATTTCCAGGGGAAGGATGATAGCTAATAATTATTAGTCACTTACTGTATATGTTATATACATTATTTTATTTAAAACCCAAGTGATCCCATGAAGTTTAGGTACTGTTACTGTATATCCATATTATCATCATTAATTTATTATTATGAACCCCATTTACAGTTGAGGAAACTGAAGCTTATAGTTTGTAATTTTTCCAAAGTCATCTGAACAAGGAAGTAGCAGAGCCAGGATTTGAACCCAAGTCTCTTCATCTTCAGGAGTCTTATTTGTATGCACTCTGCTATATTACTTTTGCATATATACTCAGTGGGTATATTCTGAGTATATTTTGATACACATCTGTATATCCTGGTATTATCTACTTGTTAACATTCTTACTAGTAGTGGTGGAAGAATAAATAAACCGAAAATGCTTAATGAAATTTTGATATTTCAAGGGTAACTAAAAAGAACTTTCCAAGCAAGCACCACACTGAAATTACAATTTAAGTCAATAGGAAAATATGATATTTACTTGTTTTGTTTTTTCTTTTCTTTTTTTTTGCCATCTATCATCTTGTAATTTACCTTGTTTTATACAAAGCATTTCAGAGATGCTTCTGGTGTGATTGGCATTAGCCACTAATTTGGTAGCCCTGTTTATGATTCTGTTCTTTTCACTTCATTGACATTTAACAGACACTTCTCCATCCCTGTTGCTGCATACCAAAGTAATCTGTGTATTGTGATTTTCCATCAGTGGTGTTGCCACATTGTTTGAAGTTCTATTTCTGTGTCATGAGTCTGCTGAATTTAATCATAATTAAAGTTTAAATCACCAGCAGTTGCTTGGATAAATCAAAATAATATTTTAAAATTTTGATTCATTGCCTTAAATGTGAGTAAACTGAGCTACAAAAGTAGGATCATGATGGTAGGTAGTGGCAATTTTAGAATTAAACTCCAAAGAGATGAAGTCTCTAGCTCATTCTTAGTGTCCTAAGTTAAAATATTTCTTGTATTAATGAAGTGATTTTATAATAGTTTACATGTAGGCTTATTAACTACATTTTCTTTAATGAATTGGTTTCTTCCAGTGATACCTGAAACCATGAAAGTAGTAGTTTCTATATTGCAGCAGTATTCAACATGGTATATATTCAATAAACTATTCTTCATTTAGCTTAAAAAATAAGTATGGTAGGTCTTTTTCCCCCCCAACTTTATTGAGGTATAAATAACAATTAAAAATTGTACATATTTAAGGTATACAGGTTGATTATTTGATATATATTTGTGTTTTGAAGTACTTATCACAATAAGCTAATTAGCATATCAGTTACCTCACATTTATTTTGTTTTTCGTTTTCATTTTATGGTGAGAACACTTAAGATCTACCCTCTTAGCAGATTCAAGTATACAGTATTGTTAACTGTAGTCACCTTGCTGTACATAAGATATCCAGAACTTACCGTGCATGACTGAAACTTTGTACTCTTTGACCAATATCACCTCATTTTCTTCTCCCCTAGCCCCTGGTAATAACCACTCTACTCTCTTTCTAGAAGTTTGACTCTTTTTATATTCCACATATAAGTGAGTAATATGGTTTGGATGCTTGTCCCATTCAAATCCCTTGTTGAAATGTGACCTCCATGGTTGGAGATGGGGCCTGGTGGGAGGTACAGGATCATGGGGACAGATTCCTCATGAACGGTTTAGTACCATTTCCTTGGTAATGAGTGAGTTCTTGCTCAGTTCACATGAGATCTGATTGTTTACAAAAGTGTAGCACTGCCCCCTGCAACCCTTCTTGCTCACTCTTTCGCCTTGTGGTATGCTGGCTTCCCCCTTTGCCTTCTGCCATGATTGTAAACTTCCTGAGGTCTCACCATAAGCCAAGCAGATGTTGGTGTCATGCTTGTACAGCCTGCAGAACCATGAGTCAAGTACACCTCTATTTATAAATTACCCATCCTCAAGTATTTCTTTAAAACAATGCAAAACAAAAACAAAAACAAAAAAACAGACTAACACAGTCAGATCATGTCGTATTTGTCTTTCTGCATCTGGCCTATTTCACCTGCCACAAGGAAATGGTAGGATTTCCCTCTCTTAAGGTCGAATAATATTTCTCTTTGTGTGTGTATGTGTGTGTATGTGTACACACACCCCGCCCCCAACATATATGCACACATTTTCTTTATCCATTCATCTGTCAATGTATTTTTAGTTTGTTTCCATATCTTAGCTATTACCAGTAATGCTGAAATGAACATGAGAGTGCAGAGATCTGACACACTGATTTCTTTTTCTTTGGCTGTATG